GCCGAATCGCAAAAAGTTCGGCCCGAGAGATGGGAGGAGGATCGGTGCTGCCTCCACGGCTCTCCGCTTCCACCCCACTTCCGTGGCAGTAGAGCGATCCCGCTCTTCGCCCCTCCGGCGTCTCGTAGACTTGAAAAGAAAGGCGAGGCGTCGGGCCCGGAGTGAGTGCGCGTGTGCGCCACGGATGCTCCGACTCTGGCCGGGGAGCTGTCGCGATTCCAGACTCGGAGTCATGTTGGCCCGACAAGAGCAGGCGCTCCCAACGTCCCGTGAAGTTTGGGCACTCCGAACTGTAGAAAGACTTAGAAACCCTCGTCCCTGGCTTTCAGTAGTGAACCCATTACGGAAGGCGCGGTCGGGCAGGGGATACTGCCATTTTACAGCTAGTTGCGGGCATAAATATATATATTCAGAAGCAAATTTATATTCAGAAGTATATTTCATTAAGGTGAATGAATGGTGCTTTCTCCCAGGTAGGTATGAATTGGAGTCTGCACTTCGGAGTCCTATGCTTTCCTATAGATGATGCTAAAATGCACCTTTGACCCCTTTGCATTGGGAGTGCCCTGTGTTAATGTCCTTAGGTGAAACAAACCACAGAAAATAAAGGAAGCAATTCAGTGGGAATAAATTACATTGAGTTTGACCGGATTTACTCTGAATAGGCATGCACAGAATTGCCTTGTAAATGGACATCCTGAATCTAGCCAATGTAGGTTTTTTTGGGATGTGTGAGATTTGGTATGATTCCCCCCACCTTTTTGGGGGGGAATTTTTGTTCTTTTTCAAACACCCTCGGGAAGGAGTATGGGTAAGACTGCACCATCTGTAAGTTCAGGAAGAGGACAGGTGGACATCTCTGAGACAGTGTGATCTCTGGCATGGGGTCATCTGCTTTCCCTTTGTTATCCTTTGCCAAAGTTTGGAAAAGTTATACAGTAGCTTTTAAACTCTCAATAGGCTGGCTGGAGGATCCTGGAAGCTGTAGCCAGAAGTGCAACTTTATCAAGCTCCGTTTTCAATTAAGTCACAGTCAAAATCACAAATACAAACTTTCTAGTTATCTTACTGAAATGACGGGAGAGAGAATCAGTTGACCCACTCTTTCAGCAACAGACACCACATGGACCAAAAGTCAGGTAAAATTGTGGGTGTGAGTGAGGAAGAAAACGAAGGCTCCAGAAATAAGCACATATGCCTGGGTATAAGGCACATTCAGATCTGTGAGCCTTATGTCTGAACAGGTATAGATGGGACTGTATCATTTTAAATTTCTTAAGTGAAATAAGTCTCAGACTAGTTTCGTGTGTGCCATTAAAGGTACTCTGGTGCATTTTTATTGGAAGGCAATTTATGCAAAAGCATTCTTTCCTTACTCACAAATAAAGATACTGCTCAAAACTCCTGCTTTTAATGCACTTGTAGCAGATTTTTAAATCAGTTGGATGGAGGAGCAGCGGGCAAGGAGATTTAGATCCACCTTTTCATCTTCCCTGAATTTGCTATGTTTCTGTCTGCAGAGCATTTAGTCTTCTTTCTCCCCCATCCACCCCTCCCAGCTACCACACCTCAGATGCATTTTATATGGAAGTGGTCACTATAAACACATAAGTGACACATTTGCGAAGTTAGAAAACTGCACCATCCCTTTGAGTCTCCAACAGTGGATTCTACTGCAGCAACTCTGTTTTGCTGAGATTTGAAGGAGAAGATAGAGCAAAGAATGGGGAAAGCCCCAATAAAAGTGATGCAAACTATAAAAGAGCACAGTAGCAAAAGTTCTTTTGGTGCTTATTCTCTCTCAGTATACTCTGAACTGCTTTCTGCTTGCTTCATAACATGTGTGATGTACACTGTTTTGTGCCATCAAGTTGGAACTGACTTATAGGGCTGCAAAGGTAAGTGAGATATTTAAGAAGTAAATCTTACCACATCTCCATGCTTGAATGGGGATTTGAACCCAGGTATTCTGTCTGCCCCTTCACGGATTGCTGCCTTGTTGTGGCGAAGGGGCCTGAGTAATTCAGAGAAGCTATGGGCTATGCCATGCAGGGATACCCAAGACGGACGGGTCATAGTGGATATTTCTGACTAAACACAATCCACCTGGAGCAGGAACTGGCAAGCAACTGCAGTATCTTTGCCAAGAAAACTCCAGGGACAGAAACAAAAGGCTAAAAGATATGACACTGGAAGATGAGCCCCTCAGATTGGAAGGCTACTGAGGAAGTGTGGAGGACAAGTACAAGTAGCTTGAGAGCCAGTGAAGTGGTTGAGCCAAAGCCGAAAGGATGCTCAGCTGTGGACGTGCCTGGTGGTGAAAGGAAAGTCCAATGCTGCAAAGAAAAATACTACATAGGAACCTGGAATGTAAGATCTATGAACCTTGGTAAGGTGGATGTGGTCAAACAGGAGATGGCAAGAATAAACATTGACATCCTGGGCATCAGTGAACTAAAATGGACAAGAATGGGTGAATTCAATTCAGAATATTATCATATCTACTATTGTGGGCAAGAATCCCGTAGAAGAAATGGAGTAGCCC